AAATAAATAAATAAATGCATTACGACAAAAATTTGTATGACAAATAATATGTTGAAAACCATTCAACTGTCATTTTTTAATACTGTCTTTAATAGCCATATAAAATGTGGTGTACATACTTGTTTGTGACTGTTCACATGTTGTTTGCAGCCATGAATCACATTTATATTTGGATTCAATAACGACCGATTTAATTAACTGGCCAATCAGAATTGCTGTGTTGCCTCTCATCTGGGGGTCCAGGTGGCGTATATAGAGCAGAATATCACGGATCAGCTGTTCATCTGAAAACATGATTAAAAATGAATATTAGGAATAACAAAATGTTTTTGATGAAAAATATATCACTAAAAATCAATTTAAAACTTCTTGAGTCATCATAAATTTACATGTTGATATGGGTCCCATGCCAAGTGTTAAATATGTGGTGCGTTTAATATAGGTTTAATGCATAGTGTTTGTAAGGGTCTTATGCAGAATATTGGTCCAATATGAAGTGTTTGTTATGGGCCCTATTCGATAATGGTCGCGTGCAGAGTATTCGATATGTGCCCCATGTGCCGTGTTGAATATGGACTCCATGCAAAGTATATAATGAATGTAAAATACATTGTTTACGCAAAATTTGAAGATGACATGGCTTTCAATTAAGAATGTCTGGAAAGTGATCATTTTTGTGAGGTCTTTAAAACAGGAATTCACAGTAGCTCCAGTGTAACTTGTTCTTTAGGACTGAACTCAAATTGTAAAAATCACAGAAATACTTAGTGGCAATATCTAAAGAGCAAAGTTCATCATACTAAGTAGACCTATTGAACACAGGTAAAATACAATGTCTGTTAACACAAAATTCAAACATCTGCTGCAGGACAATCACCGCCCTTTGTAGGGTAATAGTAAAAATCTGTGATCAGATGAAAATGAAAGATAACGTAATGTAATATGTTTATTTCTGAGATAAATTGAAAAATACAACTTTACCTTCCTTCTTTTCACCACTGACATCTGGTTTGAATAACTTAGCAAAGAAGACTTTCGGAAACAAACTGATAGCATTCCCGACACACCCTAACGCCAGTCCTTTAACGCTAACACGCACTAACTTATCAGGAATCAAACCTTTTTTATACCCAGTTAATAGATATGCAGCACACATCAAACGAACGCAGTGAACTAATGGGACTTCATTATCAGTATAGCTACCAATGTCACCATCCCTAATCCTAGCAGTGCCAGATGCTGTCAGGCTACTGCTGGAACTTTCCCGGGAATGAGAGTAAATATCCAGGTGTTCCATACTGCCAGCTTCTCTTGGCGTTGCTGATCGACTTGAATCTGGTGTTCGGTCTTTATCACCAGATGGGCTGATATTTACCCTGATGTCCGTATTACTGCCCGGCAGCGAACTACTTTTCCCCAACAGTCCAGCGTTCTCACCAGCGAAGTTCTCTTTCACTGTATTATGACTCAAAAAGACATCTTCTTGTGGTGACAAATCTTCATCCACATCGCCGATTTCAACATTGGAGTACGTGGCGTCATTGCTATCATTCTGTAAAATCATATCGCTGTCATCTTGAAACACGTTGCAATAAACATGACCATCAACTGGTGATAAAGGTGTTGTTAATTCATCCTCTCGATAAGTCACACCAACATCTGTTGCCATGGTATCAGTCTGATCACCTGGAAGTTTCTCTGCTTCCATAGATTCATCTTGAAAATCTTCCAGGCTTGATTCATCCTCAGCCGCCACTGATGATATTCTATTCAACTGACCTGCAAACAAAAATATTCCAAAAGTTAATTTAATTTTTTAATTAGAAAAACAGAATGAAAAATAATAATAGAGACAATCTAGAAAAGTCACTTCATAAGCTTGGTTAAGGTTGGAATTTTGGAGGGATTCCTCAATTATTAAAAATGTTGACCAACTGGTCTCAAAAGAGGACTTAGCTGATAATCAGACTTACCTGGAAGAAAAAATGGCCTCCAGTTGGCCATTTCAATTTGATTGAATAGTTTTTAGCATATAATCAGAGACTAAGGATTTAACCAGAATTTTGAAAAAATGTTGACCAGGATTTTTTTTTGATGATTCAATCGCCATAATATCAACTACTGATAGCTTTGATAAGCCTATAAATAAAGAACAAATTCTTACCCTCCAAGTTTTGGTCACTTGTATTCTGTCTTGGCAATCCCTCTGGAAGAGACTCTACAAAGATGGTTTTCCTCTTGATGCCTTGTGGTGACAGAAGCAGATTGAGCAACTGTGGGTGAGGGGTGCGCAACAGTTGATACAATGTCTCCAGCGATGCAGTCACAACATTGTGGTCTGTAAACTGACTGTAGTAAAGAACCAACTCGTATATCTGAAATGATAATCAAACTAATTAGCATATTACAACAATATCATAATACTGTTGCCTGATTGGTTGGATTTTCTAGTTATTAAACAGAGAATACAAGGAGTATACTACAAAACAAGTGACATTATTAGTAGAATTGTATTTGAGGCCACCACAACTAAAACTTGTAATATTTAAGCATGTACTGTTTCTATTACAATGCTGTGCCTTGAAGTATTAGTTCTATGCAGTCCATAAAATCTGGACAGAGTTTATAACTGGCACATGTTGCAAATATCTAATGATGCTACATTTTTTCATAAAAAATTGCAAAAGTTTTACTGGGTTAATTTTTCAATGATTTTAGTGCAACATTTTTCAATCAACTTTTGATGTATTTTTTGGTAATTTCTTTCTTAATTATGCGTCAAAATTCAAATGAACATATTTTCACATTGACTAGGTAATTAATAAGAATGAATTTCAATCCAGAAATAAGTTGGTCTGTGGATAATCTCAGAGCACCTATATGTATAAAGTTTCTTTTTGTTAATTTTGTTAATTGATGAAAATCAGGTAATTATTATGTAAGGATTGCAGCAAAACTGCAACAATGATAAGGTCTGTGGATTATCACAGAGCACCTATGTACCAAGTTTCATGGAGATCTGTTGAGTGATCTCAATGCAAATGCTTAAATTTAGCTTATAAATATGCAAATTTATGCACAGATTTCAACCATAAATTTATCAGGTCAGTGATTTATAACCGGAACACCAAAATAAGTATCGGTACCAAGTTTCATTAAAATCGGATGAAGAATTCCCGAGACA